GGGGGGGGGGGGGGGTGTGTTGAAAGGGAATTTCTTAAAGACAATGTTATTCTTAAGGAAAAGCCTAGTTTAATTGAAATTTAGTGGGTGGTTGGCGAGTGATCTGGTGTGATTTGCTTCTTCTTTCCTATCGAACATCTATCGTCCTTATCTCCCCTTCTTCTTTTTTTTTGTTTGTTACTCCCTTGTAACACCTCTAATCTTCGGCGTTTATATGACCATATTGTGTCGCAATTGCCGTAAAACACTTACTAAAACAGACTTATTGAAATTTATGCTGTCAACCCTCCGAGGTTATATTATAGACATAATGCGAGTACTTGAAGCGTGTCACTGGTAGGTCCTCTTTTTCTTTTCCCTGCCCTCTGCTGTTTCTGGATGTCTGTCCATTTCCCTGCACCAAAGTGACTTTTATTGTGTCTATCAAACGTGACTCTTTTATTTCTTTATGTATGTCTGTCATGGTTTTCCCCTCGCACTCAATGACCTGTGTAGTGTCAATGTGCTTCACGAACGACCGGTTACATGTAATATTTCAGTCACACAGCAGTCAGGCTTTGCTTTCAGGCCTTACGCGGGTGGTTGGAGGCCGCCATTGGTAGGTCCTACTTCTTCACGTTCCCTCTTTTGTTTCTGTCTAGCTGTCTTACTTTTTCCTCAGTACTATGATCATTATTGTGTTAATGTGGTTCTCTTTACTCAAACAAACAAAACATCAGGCCTTACACCCCCACCCGGTACGTATTCCCTTGCTACCCCACGGATAGGTGGAGTGGTGTTTCCAACACAGCAAACCCTGAAGTCCGGGGGCCTAAAATTGTGAATTTTACAAGAGAAATTCCCGATATTTTTGTGTGATTTCAAGTTCCTAGATAGCTCCACACCATCGTGAAACTGTCTTGGTTATCTAGAGCATTTCTTTTAGCCGGGTAATCTCACACGGGAATACGCAAGGGTTGTTTTTTTCTTTCGTTAAATTCTCATTTGAATTGCGCTATTTCGGTGACCTGAGTCGAAACTAGGGGAAAACGATTTCCCTTCAGAGATTTGTAGGTGGGTGGTTGGCGGGTGCTTTGGTGTGCTTTGCTTCTTCTTTCCTATCAATCATCCATCGTCTTTATCTCTCCTCCTTCTGTTTTGTGTAAGTTACTCTCTTGTAGCACCTCTAATCCTGGGCACTTACATGACCTTACTGTGTTGCAAGGGCTGTAAAACTCTACTAAACAAAGAGAATTTGTAGTACGAGAAGAAGTTAACCTGGTTCACACATACGGGGAGAGATCCATGGTGGCTTGCGTCTGCCTGACTCCCGCGGCCTGGCCCCCGCCTGGCTCCCCCGGCCCGGCCGTCTGTCAATGGGGAGAAATTCCCCAAGCTCGCCGGCTCCGTTGGCCCCATGACCCTCTGCTGTTTATGTGTCGTACATCCACAGCTTCAAAGGGAAAGTGGAGGGGAAAAAAGAAAAAGAAATGTGAAAAAGAAGTAAAAAAGAAATGTTCCGTATTTGAAACTCCGCCACCTGCTTTGTGCCGACGGTTGAATTGCCTCAATCCTGTCCGGGGTTCCAGGGATATGTCTGTTTGTGTGTCTGCGTGTGTGTGTGTGTCTGTTTGTCCGT